ATTGAAGGAAAAAAGTATACTACTGAAAAGACTCTATACTTAATACAGTGCTAAACAATGAACGTTATTATGTAAAATATGCAATTTATGTAGGAAGAAGCTGTTGTGTTTTGTGTTTGTGTTACGGGACTTAATTTTTTTTCATTCATGCCATTAATCAGGCATCAATTATAAGTAATTACATTACTTCTGTATCTGAAAGTAAAGAAACCAGAATGGTGATTAGCAGATATTTTGATTGGATTTCTTGCCCACCAAAGTCTTCATACTAAACTTTAAACTATGCAAATTTGGAGTAATTCTGACATTAGAGACATTGTTCTCTACAAGGTGTAAAATGAATTGCAGGAACACCTACACATGTCTTGTATACCTGTACATAATGCCTGCATTTCCAGGAAAGAAACTAATAATTGTTAGCATGTTTTGGGTTTTTTTGAAGAACAGAGAAAAGTTTCAGGCACACATGTAAGCATGTATTACATAAAAATTGTAAAAATTGTCTTTTGGAAAACCCATGATGTCACTCACAGTAAAAATCACAGGATCTAGCTAACCATGGTGAAAGTGTAGGATCCCACTGAAGGAAATATCAAGAACATTCTGTACAGAAAAGTTCTTGATAGGCATAATTAAGGTACAAAATATTCTGTGTTATTTATTCCTATTGTACAGGCAAAAATCATTAATTAGTCCTGTTGTGGAAGACTGTAGTTTCTGTGGAAAGAAACTTTACCCCATGCCTTGTTTATGGAGTAACTGGCAGTTGTTGAAATTGTGAGATGGACATTATGGAAGGGCTGGTGGAAAGCAAAGGAAGGCTGAACATGTCCAAGAGCCAGTTTCTAGGCTAAGTTTTCCTGTTCCAGTAAACAGAAAAAAGTCCTTTAAGGCGTGCATTAAGATGAGTGTCGTGCTGTCAGACACGGCAGTGAGGTTGGACCTCAAAAGAATCTCCCCTGCCCTTCAGGGAGTTGTGTTGGATTGGTTGAGAAACTGGACGTGTCTCCATGGGCCAAAGTTTGAAGCTGAAATTGGTTTTGTTGATTAGGTCTGTAGGACTGATATAGTTTGTTTTGCCCTGAATACTCTCTGAAAACTCATGTTTCCTTGCATGAGGTGGAATGAGATTGAGTTGTGAGGTTGGCATATAGGGAATTTGCTTCTGTTTTTTTTTCTCCATCACATACTCATTTTTCTTTTCTGAGCAGGCTTCTGTAGAGCAGCTGAGGATTTCGGTGGCATGGGGAATTCCTGGAAATCTAAGTTTGTTAGCAATGTTGGCTGAATGCTGAGTAATTTGATTTGTATAGTTTTTAACAAAGCTTTGCTTCCTAGTTTGGATATGTGGCCTGGTAGGAATCCTGACAGAACACTTAATAAACTTTCAAATCCAGAAAGGAAAACATGTTATAAAAAGGAGAGTGGAATTCTAAGACTTATTATAGTCAGTGGCTAGAGGAGGAAGGGTTTTTTCGAATTCTTTTTGTGATTAAATTAATGGTTTATTAACGTTGTGTTTCTAGTTTCTCTTAGTTTTAAGGTCTGCTTTGCATCTGACTGAGAGGGCTGTGAATCTTGCCTCAGTGTATATTAACAAAATTTATGCACAGATCTGATTGCCCGGAATAGGTCAAACTTAGAGAATTGCTGGAAAGTTCTTTATGTGACCTTGTATGTATTTTAACTGTATACTGTGTTGTGTTCTTCAAAGTAATTTATCTCTGCATGAACAGGTCAAATCACTGTGTGTGATCTGTTTAGAGCTGCCGATCTTTATTTTGCCTACCAGCAAGCACATTTGATTATTGTTGTAGTTCAAGATTCTTTTTTTCCTATGTGATGGTATTATTGTTGGTATTACTTTCCTCTTCATATACTTATCAATAGGTTTCTCACTGTATAACCTTCCTGAAGGTACTTAACGAGCACTAAAATAAATTGTAAAGAAATGAATTTATATTAAACACTTCTGTAAAAGATAATACTAATTTACTAATATTTTATTTTACAGAAATTAGAATATTTACATATTATATAGGTGATCTTCCAGTGTATACCTTAACAAATAAGACACGTATGCATTGATGACTTTTGTTATCATCATCTGTATACTGAGTTTGTTTTCTTATAACCATGATATTATCTACATAAAATGGGAAAATGTCACTGTAAAAGATCTAACTGTGAAAAACTAAGCAGTGCAGGGATCTTCCCTTGTTTAGGACTCTGTTGCAGAACCTAACAGGAAACTGAAAAAAGGAAGTACCTAGAAGGTTCATTGGTGAAATCTTCCCCATTATGTGTCTGTGTATTTCTGCATCCCATACACTGAGGTGGAGTCAGGACCAGGCTGCCGTCCAAGATCAGTGAGCTGCTCTGAGGACTGCCTACCTCTCCTTTTCTGCTCCCAGGAACTTGGCAAATTAGAACCACTGTGTCCCCCACAGGGAAATTCTTCCCTTTCAAAGGACATAACTTGCATTTGAGAGTTGTCCAGAATAAAAATGCAGCCTTGTATTCTGTTGTATGCTCCATGATAGCTGCTGTCTTAGGCACCATCTGCATCTTCTTTCCTGTGAGCTGCCATGCCCATACTACATTTTTTCCATTGCTGCCATCTCATTCAGGACGTGCATGTTTTGTTAGAGCTCTGGCTCTAGGCTGTAGAGCCTGGGTGTCTGGTAAGGTGGAAAGGATATCAGAGTTGGTCATTTAGATCTGCTTTCCCTGCTGATGAGCTGTGTATGCAACAGACTTTGTGTACAGCACTCAACTAAAGGTATTGCATATGAAGAGATTGATCAGACCAAGGTGCACAGCATCATTACCTTGCTAGCTGTAGTAATTCTAATGGTAAGATGTTTATCACAAATACACATATTGAATAATTAATATAATCTCTAACTTTACTATATTCAGCAATGTTAGCTTTTGTAGGCAATGAAGCTAATGTAGTTAAGGATGATGCAAATAGTAAAACTGGATTAAATTGTGGTAGAAAACTTTGGTTATGTAAAATGAGTTATGCAAATAAAATTTAAAAAAATCTGCAGAATCTAATCAGTTGTCAAGATTATAAAAAATATATACCTACTTCTAGATATAAAACTGTCTTTGATACAAGTTAATCAATTGCCAGAAATGAAACATCACTAATTTGATTAAAATGACCCAGTTGGCTATAGTTATTTTTTCTTGAGATGAATAAAAATATTGAAGTTCACAAGACAGAATGGTAACTTTAATTACTAAATAGCACATTTAACTTTTAGAGTTGCTGACCTTTTTCAGACACTGACATTGATTCACAGAGATTTAAGGGCTGATGTGCCTTGTACTTGGCCAATATTATTAACATTAATGTTACATTTTTCATCCCAATCTCCATGCGCCTGTTAGTTTTTGTTATTTTTTTCAATTATATTATACAATTGTATTATATATTCAATCACATTCTAGATATCTTCCAACTCATCATAGCTTTTTTCTAACAGAGAGAGGAATGAAGAGCAGAGGAATCTCTTCTGGTACAGATTTTTAAAAGGCAAGACAGCTGTTATTGTACTTAAGACAGACTTACTTGCTCATAGAATAGTCCATACATATTCAAATCATTCACAAGGAAGGGTCTGAGAGCAATGAAAGGACTGAGGTGTCTTCCTTAGTGTCTGCAGGAATTTCTTTGTCCAGTGATAGTGGTTCTTATGTATGTAAAACAGGAAGAGGAAAAAAAAATTACTAGGAACAGAAGCATATTAAAAAAACCCCCACATTAACCCAATCACACAACACCTTTTTTTTTTCCTCTTCCTGTTTTACATACACAAGTATGTAAACATGAGTTTCTTTCCCCTCATGACTCCTTTTTCTGTTCTTTCTTAGCTACCAACATCTCTCTCCTTAGCACTCATTCCATTGCTGTATTTGTCACTTTTGATCTGATTTTTTTGTTTGCTCTTTTTGTAATTTAATCCTTATAAATGATACATTGCTAGACATAGGAAGAGATTCCACTTACAGTCTAAAATTAGCTTTCTAGTCTAAACTGGTCTTCTAGGCAACTTCTTTAATCAATAAAAGATAAATACCACAGGAGAAAATTCATCACATTTTATGTTGAAACTGGAAGGATTAATTGCTGCCTGGGCCACCTGTCTCTTTGTGATGATTAAACGGAGTGCCTGAGATGACAATCTCAGATGAGGTACCTGGCTCTCAGATGGCTAAAATTAGATGAAAAGCAGCCTACCTGTTGTTCCAGGAGTGGTGTTGGTAATGCATTGCTTTCAGAGAGTCTATGCTACAGAGGTAGAAACTGCATAAAATTGGAATGAGAAGGCAACCACAGTTGGATTTTTTTTTTCCCCTGAACTGACTTGTGATGGTACCAACAGTTATATTTGATTTTCACTAGTGACCAGCAATGTTGTGATGTTCTAGAAATCAAACCCTTCCTGTTTTGTTAGAATAGTTAATATTTGTATAGCTCTTATGTGAACTTCTCAGCAAACTGCAGAATCCATTTTAGTTTGGGCATGGAGAGTTAGAAGCTTCATAGCATTTATGACAAGGCTATGCAGTGCTGTATAACAACATAGTTGGGTACAAATCCAGTTACAGAAATTTAATTTTAAAATCATAAGGAACTAAGTTTACTGATAAGATAGTATCTACTATTTCAGTGGTTGTTACTAAATCGGGAACATCTCCATAAAGTGTGTCCAGATACATTTGATCATAAACAGTCGATAATTTTTAATGAATTCTGCACATAAGCATTTAGAATTTTAAAAAAGAATATGATTTGGAAATACATATAACTGTTTACAAACAAATGTGATATGAAAATATTTTGAACAAAACTATATATGAGAAAATATTTACTAGTTACAAGTATTCTATTAGGAAAACTGGTATATTCTGGTATTTAATATTTTGTCTTTTATTCTGGTATATTTGGTATTTATTCTGGTATTTAATATTTGTTCTTTTAACAGTGCTGTAACTCACCACTGAACCAACGCATTTGGAACAGTTCATAGCATCAAAAACTTCATCCTCATAAACTGATGCCAGCTTGGCACTCTCCAGACACTGTGAACTGAAGTTAAAAATCTTTATGGAGTTTATAACACCTGGGTCAAAAGGAATATTCTTCTGATATACAAGGAGGACCCTTACTGCCAGTATGACGAGCCAGGAGAAGTGGGTTAACCTTAGCCCTGGAGAGTTCTCTCAGCTTCAGAAATATGCAGAATGTAAGTGATTTTAAAAATATTTAATTTTATGGCTAAATAAAAATTAAGAGTATTTTGAATGTAGAATATAAAATTGTTGTATTATTGATACTATTCAGAACTTAGAAAGAATGCATTCAGGTTTTGTATTGATGATTCATTGCTTTCAGAGACCTTTGTGAAGAAAACTCTGTATTTCACACTTTTTGTATGAATAATCTTGTTTTAAGTTACATCACCAAATAAACAGTAAACATAACAGAGCAATTTAAAAAAAAAAACAACACTTTTGAAAATATTTACTGCTTCCTGGGAAAATATGTTCAATTTATTTTAATTTTTTTCAGTATCTGAATTTGAAGANTCTAGTAGAGATAGAAAGTTATGTGGGTTTTTTCCCCATGCATTCTTATAACTCAAGCCTCAGTGCAACGTTTGCCAAAACATTTGCCTTCCTTGTGGGGAAGAAAAGGTATTTAAGATATTTCTTTACCTTTGTCTTCCCTTTGCTCCTCTTGCACTTCTTGCATACACACAGTAGTTTAGAGCCACTGTTTTAATAGAACTGTTGGTGTCAGGGAAACTGCTTGGATATGTTTGTGTTCAGGTTTGTGTGTGTACATTAAAGAAAGATATGTTGTCTTTCAAGCTTCCTCTGCTCCTCTGATAGGACGTTAGTTTTTTGTAAATGTGAAATGTGGCACTTTTTTTGTGTAAATAGTTCAATTTCTGAGGCAATTAGTAGAAAAAAGGTTAATAGAATATAACTTTTCATGTATAAAGGAATAAACTGCGGGTATGGACCTTAGTCTGAATTTCTGGTGATGCCTTAAGTTTTAAATTTTTCTATTTGTCTTGGGTGTGCTTTTCTGATGTGCCAGGGTGATGAAGACAAAACAGTCCTATTCCAGTTAAGAACTCAAGGACAGTTTCTCCAAACTTCAGGCCCTAAGCACAAACAACTTGGAAAGAGTGGGTTCATGCAAATGAACCAAAACCTATAAAAGTGTGAGATTTTGTGATCAGCCCCTCCTTTGCTTCCATCTTGGAGCCATCCAGGCAGGGGCCTGCTAGGGTGTGACCTTTTGTAGGTCTTTCAAAGGTCTCTCAATAAATACTCGTTTTATTCCCCTCAGCTCTGTGTATAGCCTCTGTTTCAGCTCCTCAAGGCATCACTGGGCTGTCCAATTTAATTTAACCAAATGACTGGATAACAGTACCTTTAAGTGTGTGATCTAAGACTTTAAAGTGCAATTAAAAAAAACCAAACAACTGGAACCAATATTTTTTAATTTGATATATTTTCTTTGTAACATGTCAATATACAAAAGGTTGTGACAACAGATATCTTTACTCATTACTAAATAATAATTAAATTATATGGAATTTTGTAAAGCTTGAATATATAATTGCTATTTCTTTGTCTTTTTTGAGCTTGGAAAGGCAATGAACTGAAAATCATCAAATTTCATTTGGTGGCTTGGTAGAGTTTGATACACTTAAAAAAGTAAAAATAATATTAATAAAAAACCCCTAAGGAACACAAGTCCTCAGTTAAAAAAATGCATTACTCATTTTTCTCCAGCATGGAAGTTGAAGTACCAGTGGTTCTCCTGCAGGATGGAAGGCTGATCCAGGTGTCAGAAGGTGACACTCTGGGGGGGTTTGGCTTTGTGGCAGGTGTCTGCCAACAAGTGATGGTGTTGAGCACCCAGCTGTGCCTTGTGCTAAGGAGTGGGTTTCACTGCAGGACTTCAGAATAAGTAGGGAATTCATAGAGGTGGTTTTTTTTGCCTTCATCCTCTGATGTGCAGGCTTGTCATTTGCTCTGCCTTTCGGTTCGGTGGCTAGGTTTTACTTCATCTTACCTAAATTGTAACATTATTTTTGCTGTGGAAGTTTTAACTTTCTTGAATTTAAAGAATACCCTGTTTATAAATTCTCTTTTAGTTTGCATCAAGCTGTAGTACTAGACTACTAGAACAAAGAGTATAGTCTACCAGAAACCCCTCTGCCTTGGATCGTACTCAGTGCCTAATAGTCACTTCTGCCTGATAAGATCACAGGAAATGAATATTACTTTTATACAGCTGGGGTGGATTGATTGTGGCAGGATGCCAGTTGCTCATCAAACTGTTTTATCACTCCTCATTCTCTCCCTACATTCTGGTGTGGGGTACATTCCATGGGGGACATTCCATAAACTTCTCCAGCCTTTCCCCTAGGTGCAGTTCTTGGTTGATACAGAACAGATACCTTTAGCTGGTGAATAGGAAGAGGAGGTGTGCTGAGCTGCCTTGTGCTAGAACCAGCAGGAAGTTCTGAAGTACAAGGGGATTTCGATTTCTGCTTTTCTCTGGAACCTAAATAAATTTGGTTAAGAAAGCTTGCTTATCCATTTTAGGCACTTCCTGTGTCTGTTCATGCAGAAAGTATTCTCTTTAAAATGCATTAGCTGGTGTTTTGCACATTGACTTTCTGATCAGGAAAAAACTCCTTGCACTGTTCCCTTCTGAGGCTGAGTCTCTTCAGCCTAAGCTGGATACAGAGTGAGACAATGTTTGACTTCTGTGACAGCCTCTGCTCAGGACACAAGCACACACCACCTCACAAATCTGACAACCTTACTTTGGATCCAGTGTAGGAAGGGGTGACACTGTTCTGAGGCATAGCAGACAGGGCACACTTGGAGGAATGAGAGATTTGGGTTTGAATCTTTTGAGGTTGAAGCTCAGTCTGAAACCATTTCCTTGATTCTTTCCCTATCTGAGAAGCAAGGCTGTCTCACCTCTGCCTGTTTTATGAAGATTTGCTGCCAAACTTTACTGAAATCAGTCACACCTGCAAGTGTTAGAGTTTCCAAGAAGAACAGAGGAATGGGTCCACACAGGTTGTAAGAGACAGATTAAGTGCCTCTTCTTACCTGTACACTGAAATAGAGCTCAGGTGGCACCTAGATGAGCTGCTTCTCTTGGCATCAATTGCTTTCAGTCATGCAAAGAAAATCTCAAACTATATTTAGATATCGACTGCACAGATAATAAATACATCCAGAGTTGAGTCATACGTGGATATATAACTCATGTAAGTGTGGACATTATAGATCCAACTGTTTTGGACTTGGAGCATACATTCCCTTTTTAGTCACCAAGGTAGGTGTGTGGATCCTACACTCTATAAAGCCCCTTAAACTACTCCTGTGGATTTTAGTGCTCTGAGAAGGACATGTGCTTTTTCACTTTCTGACTGAAAGACACTTTGCTCTAGTTCAGTGTAGTTCTTCCTTTTTATTAATCTTCTGTGAGCTTGATGATAGTCTTTCAACTCTGGCAAGTGCAGTTAAGCAAGGTCTGCTCCTAGCTCTGTGTGTAGGTCCTGTCCTTGTAATCACTTTGAGAAGTTCTTGCCACATCTTGTCTGTCTGTTTTCTTCTTCACACAGTTATAGTATGATTCAGTGCTTTATCCAGCTGTACTGTTTGGTGAACCCAAACCCTGAATGCAAAATATCTTTTTTGAATATATAATAACGTTTCTCAATTTCCATGAATATATCTGAACAGCAAAGGAGAATGAGTTCTCCACCACTTGTTCCTAATCACAAAATACTTCCCTCTAAGCAACACTCAACTTAATAGTATCTTCTTGTAAATTAATCCAAGGAGTATGTGTAATTTTTTCTTACAGAATTATTTTTGAGCTCAAGTCAAGGCAATGTTATGCTTTCACCGTGGGACCCTTCTTTGTCTGCCTGCATATTAAATAATTTGGGGCTTCAGTGAATTTTTGGAACAGTTTAAATATTACTTAACAACAACAAAAAAAAATACTTCTAAAATCCAAAGAGTATATTACCTAATACTCAGCACTTTGCAGTTAATATGCATCTGTGTGGTTTTGGAAGAATAATTATTTCCAAAGGCAGTTCCTCTGTGTCCTTCTTCCCAGTCAAATTCTCTCCTCTTTTTCCGAAGATAGAACAGTAGAACATATTTTACATTACATCTTTGCCTGATTTTAAATTGCCTCTGAAGAATAGGCGAAAAAAAAAAAAAACCCTAGGATAACTGGTGTAGTTATTATATAATAGCAATAATAATGACAACAACAATAATGTAACCCACACTAAATCCTGATGAATATTCTAGGGAAGTAAATGCACTTGACAGAAGAATTTTTTTTTCTCCTTTAGATTTCATAATCAATGCTGGCTGTGGGAAAGAAAGGTAAAAAAGATGCATAAAACTCTCATTGCACAGAGTAAGGTACATACAGGTTTCAGGCAAAAACCAGTTTCTTCTAAACTATGGTACCAGTTATGTCTTTGTAAATTGTATGGGGAGCAGCTGAGAGAGCTGGGATTGTTTAGCCTGGAGAAAAGGAGGCCCAGGGGTGACCTTATCACTCTTTACAATTTCTTGAAAGGAGATTTTAGTCAGGTGGGGGTTGTCCTTTTCTCTCAGGCAATCAGCGATAGGATAAAAGCTGTCAGTCAGTAGAACAAAAGCTTAAAAGTCTCCAGCTGCTCTAGGGGAGGTTCAGGTTGGATGTCAGATTTTCCTCCTGGGAAGGGTTGTTAACCATTGGAATAGGCTCCCCAGGGCAGTAATGGAATCACCACACCTGGAAATGTTCAAGGAATGAATGGATGTGCCATGGTCTGGTTGACAAGGTGGTGATGAGTCAAAGGTGAGATTTGATGATCTTGACATCTTTTTCAACCTAAATGATTCTGTGATTTACTGGTATGTGCCATTCTGTACTACTCCAAACAGGAGCCTGAATTGTAAGGGCATTAGAGAGAAGCAATATAAATAGCTTCATTGTGATTATTATCTGTATGTTAAATTGGATTAGTTTGGATAGGGTTTTTTTTTAATCCTTTTTATTAAATGAATTTTGTATCTCCTTTTTATTAAACAAAGTTTTATGGCTGTTGTAGTCCAAATTATATGTTAAAAGGAGCTTAGAAGATCCTGCTCCAAAAGCAAGTGGGGAAATATTGAAGGGATTTGAAACAGT